TACTAATAAAAGACTAATATAATAATAACGATAAAACAATAATTGTACAGAGGATTAATGTTTTAATAATCTCAAAAGTTATTCTGCTTCATAAATAGAATAATTCTACAATTAAAAGCAAACACATATGTATTTTGTTTCAAATATTAACAATTCAATATTTATGAACACTCAATTTCTGTATTGCTAGAATCATGTTAGAAATTTTGTTATTTAATACAAATTGAAGAGGATAAAGACAACACCATTTCATATTTCGAACAAATCCATAGTTAATATAAATATATGTTAATAAATTATATTTCACAATTACAAGCTGTAAGTCAGGAGCAAATTAACTAAAAGAATTTAAACACTCTATTTCCCATATTCTTTTTAAAGTAGGAAATGTAAAATTCACTTTCCAAAAATGTGATAATTTAATTTTTCATAATCTAAATAAGTAATGTTATTAATTTCAGAAGCCTTTAGCTTCTTTGTATTTGAGCAAATGCGTGCTAACATATCATATACAATTATATTCAAATAAGTCAAAAAATAAATCTTCTTTTAAAAGAAAATAACTGTACATATTGTTAACATCTCAAGAGTTATTTTAGTTTAACATGTACATTGTTCCATTGCTGTTAGTCATCCTAAGAATATACACATGAACCAATACATACTATTTTATTCTGGTCAGCAAAATTTGCTTTCTAATTTCAAATAATTCACAAACCTAAGGTTTCAATGACTATAGTAAAATAAGGATAACCGATGACAAGCAAACACTTTAAACAGTGCATTTCATTGTACACATTACATTCGACTATTCATAGGATAAGATTTCTAGTAAATAAACGTTTATTTACAAATAAGCAATTAAGTTAAATTAAATAAATGATTCCTTTCCTTTTCCATGGTTATTTTTATAATCCTCACTTTCATTACATACAATTATCATCGCGATGCAATTGCGTATGTTTTATTTTAATAAAATTTTATAACATTTAATAATTATATTTTACTTATTATTATTATTAATAAATTAATAAAAATATATTATAACATTTCCATACATATCCTATATTTCGTTGTATACATTGCTATCTATAATCTTATGATTGAGATGCTTATATTTCAAATTTAATTTTCATTTTAAATCTTTTCAATAAGATTTTCGATAGCAACAAATCTACACAATACAAATTGTAAAAAAATTTATATATTCCTGACTACTGACACTTTAAAAACTGTCCAGTCGGATTTTAGGACTTGATTGTAAATACAAATGTTGGCCATAACCAAAAATCTACTTGATCATACGATCGATCAAATACATATGTATATGTAGATGAATTCTCATGAGTTATTTACTTATGATGAATCGTTGACGGCTGGTTCGCTTGTATATGGCGACATCAAAATCAATAGATATTAATGAACCCTATTATGATGCCTCCGTCATTTTTAAATAATCGTATCATTTCTTAAAATTAAATCTCAATTTATTCGTTTAATTTATGTATGCATAGAGTTACCATATTTTTTCATCACTAAACCGGGACAAGTACAAACAAAGGGTCAGATGAAAAATTTTTTGAAAAAGTGTACTTTTATTGTAGTAATTAAAAAATCACATAAAATGAGCAATAAAGTAGTTATTAAAAGTATAGCAACAATCTATTCAGGAGCCAAGTCATATTTTTCTGTAGATAAAACTTTTTTAAGAAATGTTTTATTATTCTTAATTTGTTCACAAAATTCCGTACATTTTAGAGCTCTTTAAAAATCAAGTCATTTCAAATGTCACACTAGGACTGTCACAGTCAAACTGGAACGTATAGTAACCTTATATATGCATCAAATTGTCTCTTTAAAAAACTTTCTATTATTCATATTTCTTTTCTTACCGGTCTCGTGTTTTATTTTTATGCAGTATTATATATAGTTATTATATAGAGTGGGAATAAACTCATAGTAACCTGAAATAGGAGGTAATTCCTCGTAAAAATAAACTGAAGTTGCAGGTTGTTTTGCGAGGTTAAGTTTTTGTGTAAAAACAACATTTCCAATAATTATTAACATAATGCAATAAATATACTTTAACTATTTGACACGTTTTCTTGAATTTTGCTACTTATGAAGACAGCTCGATAGTAAATATACTGTTGCTCTGCATTGACAGTGGAATAATACAAAAACTGTAAATTTTATAAAAAAAGCAGTTTAAAATTTGCATTTGACTAATAATTATATACTGATCATATGAAGACAACTGTGAAGAATCGAGATAGAAATTACGATGAAAAATAATTTACTTCAAGAAATCGATCGAACACTTTCGTGTCTTTTCGGGTTATTGATATATCAGTCTTATAATCGCTATACAGATCGTAGAATGTGAACAAACATATAATCTCATTGTATTCTTTGTATTTATCTGGTATTGCTAAATTTTGGTCTGTAGAATATAGAAAGAATACTTTATAATTTATAAAATGTAGAAAATGTAAATGAATTTATTCATTCAAAATCATAAAACCGATAAAGAAATGATACAAAACAATATATTTTAATTATTTGTATTGG